TTTTTTTTTTTTAACGTTTATTTATTTTTGACACAGAGAGAGACAGAGAATGAACAGGGGAGGGGCAGAGAGAGAGGGAGACACAGAATCCAAAACAGGCTCCAGGCTCTGAGCAGTCAGCACAGAGCCCGACGCGGGGCTCGAACTCATGGACCGTGAGATCATGACCTGAGCCGAAGTCGGACGCTTAACCGACCAAGCCACCCAGGCGCCCCATTGTTTATTTATTTTTGAGAGAGATGGAGCACGAGCAGGGGAGGGGAAGAGAGAGAGGGAGACACAGAATCTGAAGCAAGCTTCAGGCTCTGAGCTGTCAGCACAGAGCCCAACGTAGGACTCAAACTCACAAAGTGTGAGATCATGACTTGAGCCAAAGTCAGATGCCCAACCAACTGAGCTACCCAGGCATCCCAATGTATTAAAAATTTTAGAGCAAGTTTATACTAAAAACTTATAAAATTTTAAACTTCTAAGTTAATAAAATTATGTTAATTATAAGATTAATTAAAAGACATTCAGCCCCAGGATGCCTGGGTGGCTCAGGTTATGATCTCACGGTTTGTGAGTTCAAGCCTCATGTCAGGCTGGCTGCTGTCAGCTCAAGCCTGGAGACTGCTTTGGGTTCTGTGTCTCCCTCTCTCTCCTCTCTCTGCCCCTCCCTCGCTTGTGCTCTGTCTCTCTCTGTTTCTCTCTTAAAAATAAATAAATGTTAAAAAAAAAAAAGACATTCAGTCCCTCCTAAAGAATTAGTTCCTTCTACCTACCCTCCAAATATGTGTCTCCAATACTTTTTAAGACTCCCTCTATCTTTTCTGGGAAGGTAAATGGTAAACACGATAGAGTTTAGCACAGGTTGACACAAAACCAAAATGTCCCACCATGGCAGTATTTTAAAAACCCACAAACTTAAAACTCATTCTGGCATCACACAAAGAATGCTTAAAAAATCTTGCTCCTGGGGCACCTGGGTGGCTCAGTCGGTTAAGCGACTGACTCTTGATTTCCACTCAGGCCATGATCTCATGATTCCTGAGATCAAGTCCACATGGGGCTCTGCACTGACAGTGAGGAGCCTATTTGGGACTCTGCCCCTTCCCTTCTGTGTTCATGCATACTATAAATAATAAACATTAAAAAAAAAAAAAAAGAAATCTTGTTCCAGGTCACATTACCAAGACTGGAATTCAGAAACTGTGAAAACTACGACAAATGCTTAAAAGAATTTGGTATTTCTCACTGCTAACCATTACTATAAAGGAAGAATATATTAAAGTGGGCGACTGAAATACTGAGTACTAATGAGAGAGCATGGCTTGAAAGATTAATATTGATTTGTGAATGATCTCAGGTTAGCCATTTATTCTTAGTCCCTTGAGAACAGTCACACCTTGTCCAAGATATTTTTTTTCCACTAATCAATCACCTTTCCAAATAGGTCTGAATCTTATAGAGCTATTTTGTTCAATACAATAGCCATTAGGCACACATATGGCTATTGAGAACTGAACTACGGCCAATTTGAATTGAGATGTGCTATAAATGTAAAATATGCACTGGATTCGAAAGACTTAATTAAAAAAGTGAAATATATCAATGTCTTATATTGCTTATATTTGGAAATGATATTTAGGATATAATGGCTTAAATTAAATATATGAAAAACATATAATTTTATCAATTATTTTTACATTTTTAATATGGTTATTAGAAAATTTTAAATTTTGGGGGCACCTGGGTGGCTCAGTAGGTTAAGTGTCCCGACTTTGGCTCAGGTCATGATCTTGCAGCCCCCTGAATCAGGCTCTTTGCTGATAGCTCAGAGCCTGGAGCCTGCTTCAGAGTCTTTGTGTGTATCTCTCTCTGCCACTTCCTGCCTTATGCTCTGTCTCTCTCTCAAAAATGAAAAAACATTAAAAAAAAGAAAAGAAAAAAAGAAAATTTTAAATTATTTATGTGGTTTACATTATGTTTCTATTGGTCTGCATTATTCCAGCATATACATATCTATGTTATAAATAACATGTATGGGCTATTTGGACTGGGGTGGTGGGGAAGCTAGAATGGAATCACTGTTGATAACTGTTTTCAGAAATATTCCAGGGGCGCATGGGTGGCTCAGTCAGATGAGTGTTGGACTCCCTTTTTTAAAAAAAAATTTTTAATGTTTATTCATTTTTGAGAGACAGAGAGAGACAGAGCATGAGCGGGGAAGGGGCCACAGAGAGGGAGACACAGAATCTGAAATAGGATCCAGGCTCTGAGGTGTCAGCACAGAGCCCAATGCGGGGCTCAAACTCACAAACTGCGAGATCCTGACCTGAGCCAAAGTTGGACGCTCAACTGACTGAGCCACTCAGGCGCCCCTAGATGAGTGTTGGACTCTTGATTTTGGCTCAGATCCTGGTCCCAGGGTCATGGGATCGAGCCCCAAGTTGGGCTCTGTGCTGAGTATGGAACCTGCTTGGGATTCTCTCTCCCTCTGCCCCTCTCCCCTGCTCATGTTCTCTCTCTCTCTAAAAGGAAAAGAAAAGAAAAAAATATTCTAAAAGGCAAGCAGTATGATGAAATCTTTCTATTTTTTATTCTCCCTTGTCTTTTTTTTTTTTTTTCAACGTTTATTTATTTTTGGGACAGAGAGAGACAGAGCATGAACGGGGGAGGGGCAGAGAGAGAGGAAGACACAGAATCAGAAACAGGCTCCAGGCTCTGAGCCATCAGCCCAGAGCCTGACGCGGGGCTCGAACTCACGGACCGCGAGATCGTGACCTGGCTGAAGTCGGACGCTTAACCGACTGCGCCACCCAGGCGCCCCAATTCTCCCTTGTCTTCTTATAGATTTTATGCTACTACCAAATAGAGACAAAATGAAAAAATTTCCAAATCACCATCATCTCTCATTGGGATTCTTACATTGGTCCTCGAAGGGGTTGCCTTGCTTCCCTACAGTCTGTTTTTAACGTTGTGTTGTAGCCTCACTGGCTTCCATTGCACCTTTGTACTTGCTATTTCTCCTGAACAGAACTTTCTTCTTTCAGTTTGTTCTTCCATCTCCTTTAGGATTTTGTTCAATGTTAGCTTAACTCCCATCCCCACCCACCCACCTCTGGCACTCCCCTGTCCCTTACTATACTTTGTTTTTCTCCATAGCACTTATCACCATCAGGTGTTTTATATGTGTTACCCACTTACTTGTTACCACTGTTTCCCTCACTAGAAGAAAAAAATTCATTCAAGTAGGCATGCAGTTCCTGACACATACAAGGCACTCAAAAAACTTTACTAAATGAATGAATGAACTCAACTTTTCTATGTTGGGAAGAAACTCTTGGACCTAAATTCTACTAGTTAAAACAATTCATAGGTATAATCTGGTATTACTCAGTTTATTGTAGGTTTAAAATACTAAATCAGTGATGAAGTAACTCATGGCCTGCCTAACTTAGCTATACTTACTACATGAAATCTAATTTTAGAATGGAGAATTAGAAATCTGCTTTTGTATTGCTATTTCTCAGATGTGGTTAGATCTTTACATTTTATTGGCTAAGAAAGCAATGCAAATTTCTCACTGTTGGTCTTTCCTTCAAGCAGGTTATTTGAATTATAAAAATACTCTGCTCTCCATGGGCGACTGGGTGGCTCAGTTGGTTGAGTGTCTGACTTTGGCTCAGGTCATGATTCCACGGCTTGTGGGTTTGAGCCCCACATCTGGTTCTGTGCTGACAGCTTGGAGCCTGGAGCCTCCTTCAAATTCTGTCTCTGGCTCTCTTTGCACCCCCCCCCCCAAATATAAAATAACATTAAAAATTTTTTAAAAAAAGACTCTGTGCCCTCCAGATGGGATTCAATAGAACTACTTTCAACTTGAAAGGAAAGTAAGAAAGAGAGAATCATAAACATTTTTATTGTTCTTGGGATGATACTTATGCCAGTAAAATCTTCACCCCCAAATTAAACATGGCCTCCAGGGGCTGCTGTTTGCCACTTCCCTAAGTGTGAAAGTTCTGATTCCATCAGTGGTTGACCTCAGACTTTCAGTGCTTCATTAAACTTGTTCCTGCCACCCTTTTGATCTTAGGAGAAATACTGTCCTTTGTTGTTTGGGTCCTATGTAACTGTGAATTTGTTTGTTATCCAAAGAAGCAAACCTCCTGGTCCTGGGGCATTCGGGACTTCCTGTGAGAGTTCCTATTTTCCCTCCGCCCATTGCTGGAAGATATGTGGTCCTTAGTACTTTTGTATCTGCCTCCTCAGGTTCTCTTCCCATGTTGATTTCTCCCAGTTAAGGCTGTCCTAAGAGGCTGTCTCTGCTTTCCGATGTTTCAAACCCACCAACCCAGGGATTTTATTTGCTCCCTCTCTCCTTCTCCCTCTCTCATACCATGTTTTCTAAATAAACTCCTTTTAAGTCATTTCAACTCCACCCTTGGGCTTTATCAGAGTTTAGCTGAAGGTCCTTTATTTTCCTGGTTACTTTTCATATCGCCACTTATTATTGGCTTCTGTGCCATACAACTCTCCAGAGACAGAGTTACTGCTATTCTTTCCTCTCTCTGGAGCTCTCTGTCCCTACCTCTGTCACAGAGCTTATGGAGATTATCTCTTTACATCCTACCCTCTTTGCCAGATGAAGAGGTCTTCCAGGGCAGGGACTAGTCTTTCACTGCTGTATCTCCAGCACCTAGCATTGGGCCTGGCACATAGTATGTGATCATAAAGTGATTACTAACTGAACAAATTAGCTCTTTAAATATATAGGATTCCTTGGGGCACCTGGGTGGCTCAATCAGTTAAGCATCTGACTCTTGATTTCAGCTCAGGTGTGGTCTTGAGGTTTGTGGGATTGAGCCCCCCAATGGGCTCCACACTGACACCTCCGAGCCTGCTTGGGATTCTCTCTCTCCCTCTCTTTCTGCCCTTCCCCCACATGCTCTTTAAATAAATAAATAAATAAATAAATAAATAAATAAATAAATAAACTTAAGAAATACAGGATTTCTTGTTTACATTTCCCACAGATATTTCCAGTCTTTTGCACTCGAGTATGATCTCTAAATTCCTTCCATAGTCTGTGATGTCCTTGAGAATGTCTTTTATGTCTGTATTATGTGAATGAATGAATATACTCATAAGCATACTGGGGATCAGCACCTGGTCCCACTGAGTGTAGACCTTCAATCTTACATATGCGGTGTAATTTGGGAGGCACCGAGAAGGATCTCCTTCTAAAATCTGTCCCTATACTCACTAGCTAGCTTATCCATTGCCTAGAATTCTGCTATTAGGGTTTGACTCCTTTGGGTTAAGATACCTATCCTTTTGGGTTAAGATGTCCTATCTTAAAATACACACACACACACACATGCACACACAGACACACACCCTCCTGGAAGGTTTAATACACTCAGCTTTATTAATCATTAATAAGTTATCCAGGAGTATTAGTATAACAGATCCTTCCCAAATGAAAATGAGCTGAGACTAGATCTAATGAGAAGGAACAAGGGACAGGAATGTGTGGAGAACGAAGTAGATCCAAAATATTGGCACTGGGTAGGGAAGCATAATGGCTAGGCAGAGAGAAGGATGTTGAAACCAAAGCCAATTTTTTTTTCTTTTCTGACTTTTCTTTTTTTAAAGTTTATTTATTTTGAGAGAGACAGAGACAGTGCAAGTGGGGGCGGGGCAGAAAGAGAGGGAGAGAGAGAGAATCCCAAGTAGGCTCCTCACTGTTGCACAGAGTCCAATGTGGGGCTTGAACTCACCTAAACCAAGAGAGCGGAAACCAAGAGTCCAAAGCTTAACCAACTGAGCCATCCAGGCACCCCTCTTGTCTGTTTTTGTCTAAGATAGACTTTTAAAATGTGATCAGGAACCAGTCTATTTATGACCTGGAACCCGCAAGGTATGAAATTCTAGGTTAGCAAGCCCCAAGACTAATCTTCCCACAACCATCTGACTTCATCCAGATAATCAGACAATTTGATGTCAAAAAGCACCTCAGGGATCATTCTACTCCCCACTCCCATCATTTTACAGAGGAAGAAATTCAAGTGGAGAAGGGTTAAGTAACTTGCCCAGGGTCTTATCACAAGTCCAGACTAGATCCTGGACTCCTTGTCCATCTTTCCAGGAAGAACAAGTAATTATGCTCATTATAATTACCACATAGCCTCATCTAGAAAAACGGCACTCACTGATTTTCAGAAGGTGAAACAGGCTTTCCATTCAGTGAACCACAAACAAGGTCTTAAATATATATTTATCAAAAGTAACCTACAGAAATAAATTTGTATAAATTGTACCCAACATAACCACAACATTGCCAAATAAACCACAAATTAAACTAAGGGATATTTTGGTGCTTTTTATGATTGATGGGGGCATGTAATTTCAAAGACTACACTTTCTCGCTGGAGATCTGTAATACGTGGCTCGGGTTTCCGGGGCGGCGGGGAGGGTTCCTCGGAACGGAGGCCATGCTTACCTTCTTCTCCAGCATGCCCAGACTCCTTTGGACTTCTTGTGCAATGAGGAAACGCGAAGGTAACTATGCGCAGTTGGCTGAGAAAAACCAGAAGTGTAAACATAGTCTGGTAACTGCCAAACAAACTGAAACAAAATAACAACAGCAAAAAGTCAAAAAAGCCCCTGGCTCAGCGCTTTGAGTTTTCGTGGGAACTGAGTCACCTACCTGCTGCGCTCCCAGCAACCGCCTGACTGCGCCCCGCTCTCGGGTTTCGGTCACCCGGGCCCGACCCGCGCCCGGAAAGCGGCTCCGAGAGCGCCTAGTGACAAATGCTGCGCCCCCGGTGCTCTGCCGACTGCTGAGCGGACACCTGTCGCCGCGGGCAGCCCTCTACCTTCAGTTGCAATCGGACCCGGTCCGCGAGGGGGCCCCGCTCTGAGAAACCCATTCCCGGCCCTAGCCAAGCCGTCGGGCCCCGCACCTGAGGCTCTGGGCGCATGTTCCTGCAGTTCCCGGGCCGAAGCCCCGTCGGCGGGTGGTCCCTGCGGCCGCCAGACCCTCCGTCCCGGCGTCCCCGACCCCCAAATCTCGGCGACAATCCCGGCCTCTCTCTCCTCAAGGCCGGAGTGGCCTCCGCGTTCGGGCCGTGTAAGCGCCTGGGGTCTGCGGAGGGGCGCCCGGGGACGCGCGGCTTTAAGTTCCTGCCTTGATCCCGAGAGGCCGTGGAGCAGAGCAGTGGGAGAGGGAGGGCGGAGGCGGCTACCTGGGGAGCACCCGCCGCGCTCCTCCTCCCCGGGGGCCGGCCTACCTGCGGCGGGCGGGCGATCCGCGGGTGCTTCCCGAGCCGCCGCAGCTTCAGCCGGGAGCCTCGGGCGAGCCCCGCCGCCTGCATCCAGTTCTGGCCCCGCCTTGGCGCGCGGGTGGCAGGTTTTGGACTGGTTTCTAGACCCGGCGTTGCTTGCGAGTTCAGGGGGCGTTTTCAAAAGTGCTCGGTGGTAAGCAGAGCGCCCCCCGGCGCATCCCGCGGGCTTGTCGCTTTGGATTTCCCTGGGCTAGGGGTCTGTCTTGTGGTTACTTTAGGTCAGCGGTTCTCAGAGGGTGGTCCGGGAACGAAAACAAAATATTCACCAGAGAAAATACACTTCACTAGTAATAGGAAATGGGAAGTGACTTTAAAACTAATCGATTACATTGGTTTTCAAATCGTGGTCCGCCAGGTCTTGGGATGTTTCTAAGATCCTTTCAAGGGGTCTCCTAGGTCAAAACTATTTCCATTAGGGTAAAAAGACATGATTTGCCTTTTTCACTTCCGTTGTCTCACGACCGTACAACGGAAATTTCCAGAGGCCATTTGACGTGAATGGTGTCATCACTCTAATAGAATGCCTGTATGGATATTATTGTGTTTTCTATGGTAGTAGGTTTAAGTATCCATATGCACGTTTCTATAGAGATTAATAAAGTTAATTTGTTCTCACTACTGTATAACTGTAACCTCATTATTTAAAAAAAAACAAAAGCAAAAACATCTTGAAATCTTGAACTTTTCGTTGAGTTTATGAGGAAACAACAAAAAAGTACACTTTGTTGTCTTGATTTGGAATAATATATTGAAAATATCTCAGTTTTAATATGTAATATGATCTAATCAGATATAATTCACATAAGTAAAGGCTCTATAGGGCCCTTGATAGAGTGTAAAGCGTCCAGAGACCCAATCGTTTGAGAATTGGTGCCTCAAGTAATGAAGGCAGCAGGCTGTAAGAGGACCTATTCAGGTAACATTCACATGCTTCATTGTCCAAATAACATGCTTCACAATTCTTTGAAACATTGCTTAAGATTCTGAGGGGTCCCTGGGTGGCTCAGTCGGTTAAGCCTCCAACTTTGGCTCAGGTCATGATCTCACCGTTCCTGACTTCCAGCTCTACCCACATTGGTCTCGGTGCTGACAGCTCAGAGCCAGAGCCTGCTTCCGATTCTGTGTCTCTCTCTGTTCCTTCCCCGCTTGCACTCTGTCTCTCTCTCTCAAAATTAAACATTAAAAAAAAAAAAAAAAAAGATTCTGTGCTTTGACCAAAGTGGCTTGGCACTTGCTGGAAATCAGAGGAAACATTTTTTTCCCCTTTCTAGTTTTTTATTAATTCAGTATCCACCCAATTCTTTTTTTCTGCTCACAAAGTCTATTGCCTACTGTATTCTAATTATTTAGAATTAACTGAATTCTTCCTAGATTTTCTGCAGAAATTTTGTCTTCATTGATTCCTTCAGGATAGTGCTCTTTCTTTCCCCTTTTCCATATTTTTTCCTCCTCGGTTTCCATTTGTCCACCTTGTTCTCTAACTTGTTTCTAGGATAGATCCTTCTTCTCTCCTTCAATCCTTTTATCGTTTTTAAGCAACTGAGATCAGACAAAGAAGAGACTAGGAATGATTTCTTGTGGTTGACATCTTAGAACAGGAAACAAGAATGTGAGCCTGTAAAGTTCTCATAAGGGCAGGAACTGATTTATTTATCTTTACATCCTCCATGGTACCCAGCAGAGAACCTTTTATGTTGTTCATGCTCAATACATTATTTTTTTGGACGGAAGCAATTTATTTTCATGTAGGAAAACTGCTTCACACTATATGGGGAGAGGCAAATGGTCAATGCCTCATGCTGTGGAATAAGCAGATGTGAACTTTGGTGACATTCCTTGGTAGAATGCATCCACTCACATATCTGGATATTTGGACCAAAACAAATGAGGCTTTGTGCTCTCATCAAATATCAAAGTTTATAGTCTGAGAGGGGAGTCAGATACAGAAATGAAAGTGTTTCTCAGTGGTGAATTACATCCCTGCATGTTTCCCTGTAATATTGGATCCTAAGGAATTTTATAGCATTTGGCAGTATGCACACAAACTTCAACCACTATAGAATTACAAGATATTTTGGGATTAGATAACAAAGAAAAAAAGAGAATAACCAGTAACAACTGCCAATTGTCCACACTGCCAATTTCTTCTGTTATTTACTTGCTGTGCTCATTTTCTTCTTTGTGGCATTTGCTTTTTAAAGTCACAATATTCCTATGCTTTTCTTCCAAGGAATTTTAAGTGCTTTATTCTGGCCATCTGTGGAATCGGGTCAGATATTATAAGAGAGATACTGAAGCATGAAGCACGAAGAAGTAAAGGGTCTTGAATAGTCATTGGCCAAGTAGTAGCCTGGCTCTTGATTCTTCCCAGTGGTGTTGTTGTTTTTAAAGTTTATTCATTTATTCTTGAGAGAGAGGGAGAGAGAGAATCCCAAGCAGAGCCTGATTGGAGCTGGAACCCACGAACTGTGAGATTGCAACCTGAGTTGAAATCAAGAGTTGGATGCTCAACCAATTGAGCCACCCAGGTGCCCCTTCCCTGTGCTTTTCTGAGTTATTAAGAAGCAATGGAGGGCAGTAGGTAAAGTGTTATTTGATTTCAAAAGAAATAAGAAAAAAAGTCAGAGCAATGAGATGAATGGACTTGGATTAATGTGATAATGCATCTCTGAGTTTAAGCATATACCCACCCATTTACCTGTGTGAACTCAAGAATGAAATGAAAACTCATTTTACTGTGTGGGCATGAGGATTGACTCAGGGACTGTGACAGGAAATGTTAAGGTTGCGGCCACGAAGCTTTGCAATGTAAGGTCACATCCACGTTCTTATAGACACACTGATGACTGTGTCATTATCCTATTCAGAACAGGAGATACAACTTTACTGAACTTATGTTTCTGTGACATTTTAGCCTTGACATTTCAACAGCGATTGTTTGCTGTTTTAATTTATCCCAGTAAAATCAGTAGGTGGAAAATGAAAGACTCCTACTGTTCAAGGTTGGTTATATATTCGAGTGCAGGTATGTTCAAATTCAGCAAATAGGCAAAGGGACTAAAGATTTAATTTTAAACATTTATGTGAAGCCCTCTAAAGGAACTTTTGACTACAACTCATTTTTAATTCTATCATTCAAGAACAATGATTAATAACAAAATTAAATAAAATCAAGAACAGTGTGAAAGGTAATCCGATTTCATGGTCATCAGGTTCTGTGTCATGCTGTGAGTAGTACTAAGAGCTATATGCCATGCTATAAAAAAAAAAAAAAAGTAATCCTTATAGACCTTACAGGCACATAGGAACTTGAATCAACATGCTTCCAAACTACCCTCAGGGGCCTGTGACAGGGACTTATGTCACAGTTGATCACAAAACTCTCACTCTTTGTTCAAACTTCAGCATTTTTACAATTATAATTCTTTCAGACTTAGTTTATCATCATAATCTTACTTTCTGATTGACACAATTTTTTTCTGCTTCTTTTTTTGTAAACTCATGTTCATATAATCATGATGTTCTAAGTAAAAACAGATTGTTTCATATACAAGGTCATGTGACATCGATTGCAAAACCATGCTTTCCATGCACATGTGTGAAAAGGGAGTTCAAACAAATCATGCATTTTAGCCATACAATTGACAACGTTTAAGCGTCTTTCATTTATTCTGCCTCAAAGAATGATGACTAACTCTGTATTGATGTTACTGGGACTGATTAAAGACACGTTATACAGAGGAACTCTTAGGAAATCTAAAACCCAGGATCCTGTTTATCCCTCTTTGGTGAAGGACTCTCCTTTTTTATTTTCTGTACCACCCTGGCTTGAAGCTTTCAAATGGCAGTTCTCAATAACTGAGTTTTGACATATAAAATGTGGCTTTTAAAGTATTATTTCTTTTACTGATGTACAATAATGGCATTAGTAAAACTTTTGGCTCTCCCTTGTCTACTCTGAACACTGCCACTCTGACAGTCCTTGAGAGCAAGGAACAAAATTCAATAATCTCTGTACCTCACCTAACACATAGCAGGCTTTCCTAACTGCTCAGTGAATGAAAGAATGAATAAAATTGCTTCTTTCTCACTAGATCACTTTGAACAAATTACTTCTCTGAACTCTCTCTGCCTCTTCTGAGACATTGAGGATTTGGCCTAAATGAACTCTAAGATTTCTTCCTATGCTAAAATTCTATGGTTCTTTGAACACCTTTGATAATAGAAGGGTAAAGAAGGTTATATTTAAGTGACTTTCT